CCCCCCCTCGAACTCGAAAACCGGGGGGGGTCACTACCGGTTCGAACCCCCCCCCCTCGAAAACCGGAGGGGGGGGTCACTACCGGTTCGAACCACTGAGCTGTCCCACTGTTCCCACCACTGTCCCCACTGTCCCCACCACTGTCCCCACTGTACCTCTGTCCCATTGTCCCACCGCCGTCCTCGCCACCGCCTTCACCACTGTCCCCACCACCACTGTACCCTCCACTGTCCTACTGTTTCCACCACATTCCCACTGTCCCCACACCACTGTCCCCACCACCACCGTCCCCACCACTGTCCCACTGTCCCCACTGTTCCCACCATTGTCCTCACCATTGTCCCCACCACTACCGTCCCCACCACTGTCCCACTGTCCCCACCACTGTCCCGCTGTCCCCTCACCACTGTCCCCACCACCACCGTCCCCACCACTGTCCGCACCCCCCCTCGGTTTTCGAGGGGGGGGGGGGGTTCGAACCGGTAGTGACCCCCCCCCGGTTTTCGAGTTCGAGGGGGGGGGGGTTCGAACCGGTAGTGACCCCCCCCTTTTCATGATGAACTGGGGGGGGGGGGAGGGGTTCGAACCGGTAGTGACCCCCCCAGTTTTCCGGAGGGGGGGGGGGAGGGGTTCGAACCGGTAGTGACCCCCCCCCTGGTTTTCCGCCAGCAGCGGTAGAACACGATCTTTCGAATCTGGGAATCCAAGGTACCTACTTTCAACGACTGGTGGGTAAAGTTCTGGCGCTCCGCGCGGATGTCCTGGATCTGTGCTGGACCCCCCTCCCTGGCGCGCGGCGCTGTAGGCGCCGCCGGGGGGCTCAGCGCAGATCCAAGCAACACGCGCGGAGCGCCAAACATTTAAGCGCATGCATTTTGTTGTATCCTTCTTCTTCTTCTTCGGGAAAGAGAGAGAGAGAGAGAGAGATACCATGGCTCGGTGGGGATTGGGATCTGCCAGACGACACCGAGCAAAGGCACCGACAGACTGCAGTCGTCCCGTAATATAGGGATGCGCGATGAGGATGCCATGGGCCCTGGACGCCCATTTCGAGGCTCTTCGAGCGGGGCGCGGTCAGCGAAAGCGGCCAAGGATGGGCCGAGTAGGGACGGATGCAAGGGCACCCTTGAAAGGTTGCCCGTCCTTACCGTGCGGGTTGACTGTCTCCCAATTCTTTCCGACACAAGTGCCGCCCCCTTCGGACAACCACCGTCTAGGCAAGCGGATTGGAAACTTCGGTTTGGTGGCTGCTGCCTCCCGCGTCCCTGCTCGCCGTCATGAGCTTTGGGTGGTTGGCCAACCACGCGTTGAACTCCTTGATGTCCTCTCCGAACCCCCTCCGCTTCGGCTGCGTGTCGTACTCGGCTGGCATGTAGGGCAAGCCTCAGGCTCGTGGACCAGACGGGCAGAAGGGAGATCCCTCTCGGGGATGGACAGACCCTCCTTTAGTAAAACGTGGTTTAGTGAAAACGACCTGAGGCCCAAACCTGGCGGGCGCAAGCCTGGAAAACAACGGCCACGGCGCCCTCTCGAGAACCGACAACGGACAATTCACTAATCGACGTGTCACTGTTGGGGGTTCTGTCCACCCCCGACCCTCGGGGACTGCCTGTGAGCCTTCGTCGAATTCATCGTCGTCGTCGTTGTCGACGTCCTCATCATCCCTAAAGGTCTTCGCGGGGGCCTCCGGAGGTTCCTCGAAGCCTCCAGTGGCCCGAACAGGACAAGAGCGTGCCACAACCTCGATCCTCGAATCTCGCTCCTCGCTCCTGGGAGGACGACCATGGGAGGACGCTACGATCCTGGGCGCTGATGTGCCTCCCAGGGATCCGGGGCCATGGAGGGCCCCCACCGCCCTGTGCCGGGTCTTCCTCCTGTCCTCGCCTCTCCCTCCTCGCGCGCTGGCCGACCGCTGCTGCACTGGCTCGACCCAAGCCTTCAGTCGCATCGGCTTGGGCAGCTCTCCCGCCGCGCGGGCGACCCCCTGGCGGCCGGGCCGCCCCCAGACAAAGATGTCCCTGCAGGAGCCGGCCTACTGGAGGCCGACACCATCAAGCAGCAAGCAGGAGGGCTGCCAGGAGCCCAAGATCTACCAGAAGATCCCAGAGAGTCCGCCGTTGCTTGGGCGTCTTTCTCACTGCCCTCCTCCTCTTCAGCCTCTTACTCTTGGGCAGTTCCTCCATGCCTCAGCACCAGGCGCGCTGCTGGAGCGGTCTGAACTTTCCACGCGAGGGGCGTTCCCTGCCCCCACGTCTAGGCAAGTCGCAGAGTCACACAATCGGTCCACGGGTCACTCTCTACGCAAGTCCCGCTCTGGGGAGAGGAGGAGGAGGACCAGTGTAAACCCAAGAATCATCAACGATGTTGGAATAAACCTTCCGTCCAAGCTCCCTCTTCATAGGCCTCTGCAACGGTTCGTTTCCACTGATGGAACTGCCTCGTTGGAAGACAACCGTTTGAAGATCCTGAAACATGCCAAAATATTGTTCTCGAGATTCCAACGCCGCGGATTTACCTGACTGTTGCGTCTTGATGATCCTGAGTCGTGCCAGAACGCCATCCCTGGGACTGCAACACCGCGAATCAACGTAACTGTTGCACCCTCCTCATAATCCTGAATCCTTCTCAAACGCCAATTCTGGTACGCTGATCATGGGAATCCATGAAACTCTTGATTTTTGTTAAAACTAATGTGCGTGGCGCTAAAGCGAGAACCACATGTTGGAAAGGAACTGCCTTCAATCCGTGAAGCTCTTGCAGATTTTTAAAAGCGAAGGTGCGCGGCGCTAAAGCGAGAAACACATTTTGAAAAATAACCGCCCTCATCCGTGAACCTCTTGCAACATCTAAAAAACTCATGTGCGCAACGCTAACGCGATAACCCCGTTTTGAAGAAGAACCGCCCTCAATCCGTGAAGCTCTTGTAACATTAAAAACGAACATGCGCGGCGCTAAGGCGATAACCACATTTTGAAAAAGAGCCGCCATCAATTCGTGAAACCCTTGCAAATTATTAAATCGAATGTGCGCGGCGCTAGGGCGAGATCAACATTTTGGAAACGTTTCGCCCTCCATCTGTACAGTCTGTGCAGCTGTTGCAAATTTTGAAAACGAACGTGTGCGGCGCTAAGGCGAGAGATACGACCCGCCCTCCATCTATGAAACTGTTGCCAATTTTTAACCTTCACGGACATAAGTGGTGAGGAAATCTCAGGCGAAACGCCCGGCCCGCCCTAAAGACTGGCCTCGGGGTGTGACAGGGAGAAGACGTTTATGAGGAAAAGGAATGGAGGAAGAGGAGGCGGAGGAGCCAGAGCAGGAGGAAGAGGAGGAGGAGGAGGAGGAGGAGGAGGAGGAGGAGGAGGAGGAGCACGAGGAGGACGACGATGACAACGAGAGCGTAACGTCTTGACGTTTTCGGCCTCTCGGACCCCTGAGGGCCTCCAATGACCTTCAAGGAACCTTGACGCGGCCGCACGATCCGAAACTACCCCTGCCGGCCACCATCGGGGGAGCCGACGTCCTTTACCCCCCCCCCGCTGGGGGAAGACATCGCATCGACGACCTCTCCCCAGCCCCGCGCCCACTAGCTCCTCTTCGTCCTCGTCCTCGTCCTCGTCCTGGTCCTGGTCCTCGTCGTCGTCGTCGTCGTCCTCGTTGTCGTCCTCGTCGTCGTCGTCGTCGTGTGCTCCTCCTCCTCCTCCTCCTCCTCCTCCTCCTCCTCCTCCCTCCCTGCTCCCTCCTCCTCCCCCCTCCCTCCCTCCTGGCTCCTCCCTCCCTGCTCCTCTTCCCTCCTCCTCCCTCCTCCTCCTCCTCCTCCTCCTCCTCCTCCCTCCTCCCTCCCTCCCTCCCTCCTCCTCCTCCTCCTCCCTCCTCCTCCCCCCTCCCTCTTCCCTCCTGGCTCCCCCCTCCTCGGCCGCCGCTCCGGCTCGAGGCGTTGGGAGCGGACCCGGGGCCCCCACACCCTCTCGGGACGGGCGGCTGCCGACGCGCTGCCGGCTGCGACCGGCCGCGGGCCCGCCGTGTCGGGCGCGCCAGCTCGCGCCGCGGCGCCTCAGCCAGGGAGCGCAGGAGCGTCCAAGATGGCCCAAGACAGCTCCAAAAGGGCCTCGGAGAGGCGAAGATAACCTCCAAGATGCCTCGAGATAGCCGAAGATGCCTTAACAAAAAGCTCCCCAGATGCTCCAAGAGGCCCCAAGATCGCGCCGCGCCCCTCGGACCTCCCAGAGGGTTTAGGGCTGAACGCTCTGGCTAGCAAAAAAAACGCTTCCTGGCGACACGGGCCCTCTCGGGAGCCCCCTGGGAGCTCACAGAGCGTTCTGGGGCCCACCGCCCAGGGGCCCAGGGTGTCCCTGTTGGGCAAGACACGCTTCCTGGCGAAGCGGGCGGCGCCTCGGCCAGGGAGCGCAGGTCGCCAGCACGACCTCTTCATTCGTGTCGCCGCCGCGCGGCAGCTGCCCGCAGCTCCTGGGAGCAGCGTGGGGGCCACCGTGGGCCAGAGGTCACTCCAGTCTTCGTGGTGCTGCTCGCGTCGTGGTGTAGATAGGGGAACCAAAAGTGACACGAACATGAAAACTCGGAGGTCCGCGCGGACTTCTCAGATCGGCGCTGGACCCCCCTCCCTGGCGCGCGGAGCGCGCCAGGGGCGGCGCCGGAGGCGCCGCCGGGGGGCACCAGCTTTTATGTTTTTGTCACTGTTTATGGTACGCGGAATCTTTTACCCGCGCGGACCTCCGAGTTTTTTTGTTCATGCCACTTTTTGCTCCCCTAGTAGAGCAGAAGTCGTCCCAGGCGTGGTTTACGAACGGCCATAGCCCGTCGGGGACGCCAAGGGTGCGAGGGCGCCCAGGCGGCGTGGAGCTCGCTCCGCATCCCGAGGCGCCGAGCGTTCCGGGGTCGGAGACGAGGCCCGAAGAGAGGGCGCCACGCGCAGCCCCGTCGTGCCTCATCGCAGGCTTTGCCAGTTGCCGTCGCCGCGCTCCAGGCAGCCCAGGCTCGCATGCTTCGGGCGGAGCCCCCGACAGGAGCGGCCGAGCACGAGCAGCATCGAGCACGCATCAAGGACGCCATCCGGGCGCTCGACAAGCAGAGCAAAACGCAGGCTGCAATGAGCTCGGACGCGGCCATCCTGTATGAGGCCACGAAAGATCACCGCACCCGGAATGTCATGCACATGTAGGCGCACCCGCACAAGGTGCGTGCCGCCAACCGGACCCGCCACATCCACAGGGCCACGAGGCGTCTCGAGGAGGCGCAGCAGAACGAGCCCGATGCGGAGATCGCGCTGGAGACGGCCCAGAAGGCGAGAAGGCCATCGCGCTAGACCTCGCGCAAGCCCAAACAAGGAGATCGGCCGGATTGCCAAAGAGAAGGAGAATAACGAGACGCAAGTCACCTTCACCTTCGACGACAGCGGCACCGCCACTCCGCCCTTCCAGCCGTTATCCTTTCAGAGTCCGTTCGGCTGCCAGGCTAGGAAAGCCATATTGCCACATGTGTTGGCGCAGCTCCAGACCAACCAGGTTCAGTTGCAGCAAGGTCTGATGCAGCTCATGGCCAGCATGACTGCCATCCAGACGGCGCTCCAATACATTCTGCATGTAGACCCGGTAGCGGCGCCAGTTTCAGAGGCCGCAGCAGCATCGGCGGCAGCAACCGAGGAGGTCACGGGCATGCCGGTGCATATGGGCAGGGGAGGCCGAAAAGCAACTCAAATCTCAACAACCCGTCGCCTCGGTCGTGGATCTCCTGACCCGGGTCAATCCAGACCCGGGTCAATCAAGCCTTGCAGAATCCTGCGCGATCCTGCACCCAAACCCGGGTCAACGCGAAGAATCCTGCAAAATCCTGCTGGATCCCGCACCCAAACCTGGGTCAGTGCGACCCTGGCCCTGCAGGATCCTGCAAGATCGGGCGTCCTGGCTGACCCCCGTTTGCGTTGACCCCCGCCTCGTGAGCCCCGACTCGAGGCAGCAGCAACGATGCCGGGCCACCAGAAGCGCTTCTTGCCGTGGTGTCTCTCGAATCTTAGGAGTGCCGATTTTGGAGTCCCGAAACGGTGCGGTGACAGACCGTGCGGTGACCTCGAAAGCCCCCAAGACCTCACCGCACGGTCCGTCACCGCACGGTCTTGGGACCCTGCCGCCCGAGACATCCTCGGAGAACGACCCGAGTCCCAAAACCGTGCGGTGACCCCGAATCCCCACCGACTCACCGCACGGTGTGGTCACCACCCCGTTTGGGGTCCCCGACCGATGCCCGCGGACGAGGGGCTCCGCGTGCCGGGGGGGGGGGGGGCGAGGGCGGCGAGGATCTCTCGCACAGGCAAATTTTCATGTCGGGCGGCGCCCGCGCGCAGTGCCCAATCTCCCTGCTGGTGAGGGTTCTGTTGCTCCCATCGTACTTGAAGACCACATCCCAGAAACAATTTCGAGCACCCGGAAAAGTGTCCAAAGAGTGCCGAAAGAGTGTCGAAACAGTGTCGGACGAGCGTCTCCCAGGGCCCGGCACGTGAAAACCCTCGAGTTTCTGGGTAGCTGTCTGGTGCTCGAAACTCTTTCTGGTAGTCAAGGCTACAGTAGGTTGGAACATCATAAAACCAGGGTTCTTCAGTCCCCGACCTTCTGTTCAGCATGGGGAGCGTGCAAGCATTGATCGGGCTAAACACCTCCCCCGCGCAGAGAAAGTCACGAACAGCGTATCGGGGGGTCGTCACGAGGACGACAGTCCAGGCTTGTTTCCAGCTACCTCGCTCAGATGTTACAGGCGTAGTCCCCTTGCCGACACATCAACAATCTGATGCGGGTTTTTCAAGTGTCGGGGCAGACCTATCACTGATCAGCTGTGGTCTCTTGGTAAGTATTGGTGCTCAGCTACGCAACAATACATGCCCTGGTTGTACCCTCTCTCGGACCTCGAAGACGCCGAGTCGATCCACATGTGCACAAACGGATCTGGGGGTTGGGCCTTCCTGGTTCTTGCAGGGGGGTTCAAAAACCACAAACCGTTTGTTGGGTTGAAGGTGGGGCTCTCGAAGGTGAATTTCCGGATCATATGTTTGCTCTCGTGGCCGAGCTTCAAGGTGCCCGGTGGGCGCTAGCATGGTTCCTGCAATCCCACTTCGCTAATTTCACGCACGAGGTTAGCCTCGCGGTCTTCTGCGACTATGCCGAAGTCTTGAAAGGTTGCCAAGGAGGGGCTCGTAGCCAATATGTTCATCAGCTTCGGTCAGAACTGGACATTCTAGTTAAGGTACCCAACTATTTTACCAGGTCGACTTCTTGGGCTCACGTCGAGGGCCACAGCTGGGACCGTTGGAACGAAGCGGTCTGCGCTACCTCAACCGTATTAACTATCCATGGGCAACGGTGATATACACATACCAGGCAGCAGATGAAGGCAATCTCTTCGTAACCAAGCGAATAGACTCGGCTATGGCTCCGCTTCGGGTCTCATCAAACTCAACTTCAATATCCCACAACGGAAACGGAAGTCCCACCTTTCCACGAGTCGGCTCAAGACCGAGCCACAACGCTGTTTAGATTATATAATTTTGCTTCCAATAGTGCACAACTCATAGAAGCTGTTCAATCGCGAGCATCGTCTGCTCCGCAATACGTGGCTGCCGCCAAGCTGTATTGAGTGGCGCGGGGCGCATGTGGTCAGAACCACCCTCTACCTGGACCCATTCAAGGCTCGCACCGTCCAGCTGACCTCTACATGTCGGAGCGTATAAGGCACTTCGGTGCGGTATCGGACAGACAAAGTTTTTCCCTGGCGAACTGCGTGGAAACCAGATATCCTGGATCAGGTACCTTTCGAGTTGCCCCGTGCCATGTGATGCACGCGCAGTGCGACGAGAAAAAGCAGTTCGGTTGCTTGCTTTGGGTCCATACCGCAATGGAAGCCGCTCCAGGTGTCCAGTGCCAGGCTAAGCACTTCCGAGTTCTTGCAACGCAGCCTCGTTTCTCCTGGAGCAGCGCGGGAGGGGAACTTCGCGCTCGATGTCTTGGTCGCGCGCCCGCCGCGCAGCAAAACTCAGCCGCAAGTTTTGCAGCAGGGGTGGCAAGATCTTGCCCGGCTCATTCAGTCCCATCGTGCCCCGAATTTTGGATTCATTTGCCCGTGCGGTGCCAGCGCCCGCGTCGGCCCCGCTACTTCGAGGCGCGCGGGGCTCGTGGCCGCTGAATTGCACAAGAATTCCAAAGCAATTCATCCGCGCCTTTCTCCGAGACATCGGGTGATCGCTTCCGTCGGCTGTTCATCGACTCGGGGCAGACCTCGTCAGCTACGCGGTTCCCTCCAGCATCCCATGGGCTCTCACTGGGTAACCGCGTCGACTATGTAGCCTGCTCCTTCGGCGTTCAGAATGACTTTCAGCCGATTTTCTCGGACGTCGATCCCACCGTCTCGATCTTGCGTCGCTCTCCCGCTCGCCGGTGCGCTGTGGGGCGCCAGCGTGCAGCCGCGACTGAAATGTGATGCGGCCAGTTTCAAAACGAGGATGCCGTGCAGCACTTTGCTGAGCTTCTGCAAGATTCGCCAGGTCGCCAATGGAACTTACCCCCTCGGTTAATGGCGATTTCCTCAAACGGCGAGCGCATTCACCCCTCGAGACAGCGCTCCCCGTGCGCAAGACAGACAAAGGACGCGTTCCCAGGCAGCCATGGGTCGCAGACACTACCCTAGCCAAGATGGATGAGCGCAGTGCAGCTCCGTTGTCTTCGACGCACTGGGCATGCTGTTTGAAGCCTCGTTATTCAAATATGTTTCATGCTTGGGCGACCGCTTCTTATGGGACAAATAGGGCTTCTTGGCTATGTCATCGCACGCAACAGTGGAATGTCTCTACTAGGCGTCCGGACTGAAATGCTACGAGATGGGCTCCAAATTTCTGAGCTTCGCTGCCGCTGTTAGGCCAACCTTTGTGGCTCTCTGCTGGCGCATAGGTCAGCTCTCCAAAGTGCCGCTCAAGAAGTTGCCGAGGTTCGCGGTCGACGCGGACTCCTGCTTGGCTCTCTTCAGGCTATGGGTATGGGTGCAAATCAGCTTCCAAGATCCCGACAGGACCGCCGGTTATGCCCTCGAGGAGCTGAAGTGTGTCCTGCCTGGCACGCCCACTCAGGCCTCTGTAGTTTTGCAGGCGCTTTGGTATTACAAAGCACGCGTGTCGGGCATGTGTCTTGCTGCTCGCCAACTCGCACTTGAAGCGCGCGCAGTCTTTGTGGATCGCAGCGTCGGTCTCGATGGATGTGTGCACGCCGCTGACCCTCCCTCCCTAGGCTCCTCGGCATGGCCGCGGCATGACTTCAGGGGGGCCTTCGGTGAGCTGAGATCCATGGGGGCGTGTTCCAGAAAAGGAGCGTTCGAGCTCGCAATTACCGCTGTTGGTGGGTTTAGGCGGAAAGCTCTCGACGTCTTCTGTCGACGTCGCGAATCGCTGCTTGCGGCGCTTCGGTGGGGGAACTTCCAGCCGCCATTCCGGAGCGAGATCTAAATTGGCAGCTCTCGTCCATCCCCTCCCTCGACGCGAGCGTCATGCGCGACTTGCAAGCTGAGCTCGACGACGCCCCGCCCCTCGGTCACTGGCAGCAGGAAATTGTGAAGTCGAAAGATTCGGCTGCTGGGCGGGGTGGGCTTCCTGGTTCCATGCCCCGATGCCTTGCCCGCCTTCTCGCGGCGACGCATCGTCCGCTAGCGGCCAATCGCGCCGTCAGAATCCAAGCGCCTAGCCAATGGAGAAATGGATTCTATTGGGGCCTATTCAAGTCTGGAGCCCCCTCCGAGATCAGTAACTTCTGGTCAATCTTGGGCCCTTCCCAGACAGGCGAGCGCAGCGTGCCCCTCGCCAGGGCCAATGTTGTTGAGGCTCTGCCCCAATTCGCAGGAGACGCACACTATTGGGGACCCTGGGGGCGGGGTAGATTTTCAGCTTTGAAAATCCGCGGGTTGCAGCAGCTAGCAGAAGCTCGTATCCTCTCAGTGCTCGTTATCATCGTCGACGCCGTCCATGCGCCCTACAAGATAACCGTGGAGCTGGTCCCTGCAACGGCAGGCGATAACGAATCGATTGCTCAACTTTTGCAGGCGCGCGCCCCCCCCCCCCCCCCGAGCAAGTCGCCCGAGAAATGCAGGGCTATCGCAGCTCAACTCTCGCGCCCCGGCGCTTTGAGATTCCTCTGTCTCTGCTCGCAGCTGGGCAATTGTATCGGATGCGTGCGATCAACCTTGATTTTCCGTGCAGGACAGCGGGCAAGTTGCGTTCTCGCTCCTGGGGCCCAGGCCAGGCCAGCAATGCGGCGACCTCGGCTTTGACGTGATTATGAATGCGATCACGAATCTTGCTCAGGGCCAGCTCTGGGAAGTTTGAATATCTATTAGATTCCCGGCGTGGCTTAGCTATTCGCGCGCAGCCTACCGAAGTTCCGAGGGGCCAGCGCGCGCCTGCCATTCCATGGGGGTGATTCCTTTGACGACGCGCACTTCGCATTCATGGGCAGCGCTCGCTCGCCTCTCGCGCGAGCCCCCGTGCTGGTTACTGTCGTCGCCGAAGCCTTTCCAGAAACGGATCTCAAAGTGAACGTAGGGACCGGCAAATCTGCGTTCATGTCCCAGTTTCGTGGGCCAGGTGCTCGTGTCACGCAGCGCGCGCTCGTCAATGCCATCTGGCGTGCCCATCATGTTTGCGCGAATATGGT